TCAAATGAGTTAGATAAAGAAAAATTGGATATTAAATTGGGGAGGAGAAGTATGGAAGAAGTGAATGTTTTCAGATACTTGGGAGTTGACGTGTCGGCGGATGGATTTATGAGGGATGAGGTTAATCATAGAATTGATGAGGGAAAAAAGGTGAGTGGTGCATTGAGGTATATGTGGAGACAAAAAAGTTATCTATGGAGGCAAAGAAGGGAATGTATGAAAGTATAGTAGTACCAACACTATCATATGGGTGTGAAGCTTGGGTTGTGAATGCAGCAGCGAGGAGGCGGTTGGAGGCAGTGGAGATGTCCTGTCTAAGGGCAATTTGTGGTGTAAATATTATGCAGAAAATTCGGAGTGTGGAAATTAGGAGAAGGTGTGGAGTTAATAAAAGTATTAGTAAGAGGGCTGAAGAGGGGTTGTTGAGGTGGTTTGGTCATTTAGAGGGAATGGATCAAAGTAGAATGACATGGAGAGCGTATAAATCTGTAGGGGAAGGAAGGCGGGGTAGGGGTCGTCCTCGAAAAGGTTGGAAGGAAGGGGTAAGGGAGGTTTTGTGGGCGAGGGGCTTGGACTTCCAGCAGGCGTGCATGAGCGTGTTCGATAGGAGTGAATGGAGACGAATGGTATTTGGGACCTGACGATCTGTTGGAGTGTGAGCAGGGTAATATTTTGTGAAGGGATTCAGGGAAACCGGTTATTTTTGTATAGCCGGACTCGAGTCCTGGAAATGGAAAGTACACACACACACACACACAACACACACACACACACACACACACACACACACACACACACACACACACACACACATAATTAAGACATAATATATATATATATATATATATATATATATATATATATATATATATATATATATATATATATATATATATATATATATATATATATAATTATATATATAAATATAATATATTATTATATAATTGTATATCTATCTATCTATCTATCTAGGGAAGGGTGCATTAAGATCAAGAGAATTCATTTACCAGGCCCAAATGAGGATTATTTATTATTATTATTATTATTATATATTAGGATTGTCTAGAAATAATTAACGCAGAATGAGCACTTACATTCGCTTTTAAAACGCGTGCAGGTTGTCAGCTTATCAGTTGGGTCACAGCTGCAACATACAACACCTGTGGAGGGGGTGAATCCTCACACACACTCATCGTTACCATCATCATTTTTACATAGGTACCCTCTCTACACTAAGTATTTTTTAATCAAGCAAACCATACCACGGGACGAGATACAAACCGCGATCAGAGTCATAAAACAAAATGGAAATCAACTAAATTCAATACATCCCGCAACGACAAACTAATGGGAATAATTACTGGCTACAAGCAAAGCTCCAATAAAAAAAAAAACAAGCTAACATGTGAGAATATGCGTAAAACAAGAATACATAGTTTCTCTGCCACGAAGCCATCAATAACAACGAGGTACATGACAATAACACTGGGACCAGCAGGGAGGGAACACCTGTTGACGACACAGCAACAGCGCTCAATACACAGTTCTTGGTTAAAAAGGGATCAGGTGAAATGTTCAAGCGGCTGTGTATTGTTTCTGGTTGCAGAGTGTGTGTGAGACAGTTACAGTGGTGTGTGATAGATATAGAGGTATGTGAGATAGTTGCAGTGGTGTGTGAGAAGCTTCCAGTGGTGTGAGAGTTACAGTGATGTAAGACAGTGGTAGTGGTGTGTGAGAAAGATATAGCAGTGTGTGAGAGTTACAGTGGCGTGAGATACTTACAGTGATGTGAGATAGTTACAATGGTGTGAGATAGTTATAGTGGTGTGAAAGTTACAGTAGTGTGTGAAAGTAACAGTAGTGTGTGTGAGACAGTTACCGTGGTGTGTAAGACTGTTACAGTAGTGTGAGAAAGACATCGCGGTGTGTGGGATATTTACCGCGGTGCGGAATAGATATGGTGGTTTATGCTTAATTTTTATTACGGCGAGTGTGCGATGAATGTAGGGTGTACGGGGTAGATATCAGGTAATACGGGGATTATACGGGTGGGAGCTTTGGTGGTGTGTCTAGTACAGATATGTAAATACATGTGTATGTAATTGGCATTATGGTGTATATGGAATGCGTATGCTAGTGTGAAGGACAGTAGGAATACTGACACACCATCACAACAACATAGTTACACGGGGACAATAAATTAACTCGAGACAAGTTTAGTTTGGCTTTGTTCCACGTTATTTGAAACAGATCACCAGTTTCAAATAACATGCTGAACAGATATAACAGACTACTGCTACAGATGACAGTCAACCACTTCATGTATAACAAAAGTTTCTCTTTTAGCATTATGGCACTGACATACATTTGGAATTAACAAACTCTATGGAGATGTGAATCATCACTAATGAATCACCGTCCCCGTACAAAAACCAGGTGAGCTACATAAATTTACACCAATCTCTTTTACCCCCTGCTTCTGCAAGATGGAGAAAATGGTCTTTAATTCAAATCTGCAGAAATAATTAACGCAAATACACTTCCGGGGTCAGGTTGTCACACTCGGAAGGAGTTTCGAGCCTCCCCGTTTCATACTATTACAAAATATATACACATATCGACCCAAACCCACATGTTTACATAAAAGATTCCATTTCCTACAAACCAAAAAGAAAAAAACGGTAATGTCTAAACACATACGATAAAACAGTGAATCTACTCGGCATAGACAAGAGAAACATAAGATACAATGATCCCAGTAACTAACTAGTAACAAGAGACATCAACCGAATAGTCGAGATACCTGGAGTTTACCTGGAGAGAGTTCCGGGGGTCAACGCCCCCGCGGCCCGGTCTGTGACCAGGCCTCCTGGTGGATCAGAGCCTGATCAACCAGGCTGTTGCTGCTGGCTGCACGCAAACCAACGTACGAGCCACAGCCCGGCTGATCAGGAACTGACTTTAGGTGCTTGTCCAGTGCCAGCTTGAAGACTGCCAGGGGTCTGTTGGTAATCCCCCTTATGTGTGCTGGGAGGCAGTTGAACAGTCTCGGGCCCCTGACACTTATTGTATGGTCTCTTAACGTGCTAGTGACACCCCTGCTTTTCATTGGGGGGATGGTGCATCGTCTGCCAAGTCTTTTGCTTTCGTAGTGAGTGATTTCGTGTGCAAGTTCGGTACTAGTCCCTCTAGGATTTTCCAGGTGTATATAATCATGTATCTCTCCCTCCTGCGTTCCAGGGAATACAGGTTTAGGAACCTCAAGCGCTCCCAATAATTGAGGTGTTTTATCTCCGTTATGCGCGCCGTGAAAGTTCTCTGTACATTTTCTAGGTCGGCAATTTCACCTGCCTTGAAAGGTCTGTTAGTGTGCAGCAATATTCCATCCTAGATAGAACAAGTGACCTGAAGAGTGTCATCATGGGTTTGGCCTCCCTAGTTTTGAAGGTTCTCATTATCCATCCTGTCATTTTTCTAGCAGATGCGATTGATACAATGTTATGGTCCTTGAAGGTGAGATCCTCCGACATGATCACTCCCAGGTCTTTGACGTTGGTGTTTCCCCTCTATTTTGTGGCCAGAATTTGTTTGTACTCTGATGAAGATTTAATTTCCTCATGTTTACCATATCTGAGTAATTGAAATTTCTCATCGTTGAACTTCATATTGTTTTCTGCAGCCCACTGAAAGATTTGGTTGATGTCCGCCTGGAGCTTTGGGCAGTGTCTGCAATGGAAGACACTGTCATGCAGATTCGGTGTCATCTGCAAAGGAAGACAGGGTTTGCTGTGGCTGACACCCCTTGTCTATGTCGGATATGAGGATGAGGAACAAATGGGAGCGAGTACTGTGCCTTGTGGAACAGAGCTTTTCACCATAGCTGCCTCGGACTTTACTCTGTTGACGACTACTCTCTGTGTTCTGTTAGTGAGGAAATTATAGATCCATCGACCGACTTTTCCTGTTATTCCTTTAGCACGCATTTTGTGCGCTATTACGCCATGGTCACACTTGTCGAAGGCTTTTGCAAAGTCTGGGATATATTACATCTGCATTCTTTTTGTCTTCTAGGCATTTAAGACCTTGTCGTAGTGATCCAATAGTTGAGACAGACAGGAGCGACCTGTTCTAAACCCATGTTGCCCTGGGTTGTGTAACTGATGGGTTTCTAGATGGGTGGTGATCTTGCTTCTTAGGACCCTTTCAAAGATTTTTATGATATGGGATGTTAGTGGCTATTGGTCTGTAGTTCTTTGCTGTTGCTTTACTGCCCCCTTTGTGGAGTGGGGACTATGTCTGTTGTTTTTAGTAACTGTGGGACGACCCCCGTGTCCATGCTCCCTCTCCATAGGATGGAAAAGGCTCGTGATAGGGGCTTCTTGCAGTTCTTGATGAACACAGAGTTCCATGAGTCTGGCCCTAGGGCAGAGTGCATGGGCATGTCATTTATCGCCTGTTCGAAGTCATTTGGCGTCAGGATAACATCGGATAGGCTTGTGTTAATCAAATTTTGTGGCTCTCTCATAACTCTCTCATAACTCGTGCACATTCAAATTCAAATTTTGATTTCTTTGCAAAGTTTACAATGTGTGACTGACATGTTATAAGGAGTACATTTCCATGCATAATTACAATACTGATTTGATAAGTGCAAAGAATATCATGGCGAGGTATTTTGGGCAGACTAAATCTAACCTCTAAGCAAACTGCACATATCCTGAACTTCCTGTGTGGTGGAATATAAGAAATAATAAAATAATAATAATTATAATTATATAATAATTACATAAAAACAATAAACATTTACCCATTATATTATAGGGACGCGCTAAATTTAACGGTCATACCTTACCCAGAAATGGGAGGTAATCAAATTTGATCCCCGGCAGCGGATGGTAACTCGGATTCCTTGGATCGCGATCCCTTCATCAGCATCACGGTACCTCCGATGAAGGATTATCCCAAATGAAGGTTAGCTTATGCTATCCCCTACTTGCCTGTCACTATTATGTCTGCTCCTGTCGCTGGTAGCAGTGGCAGTGTCGGAGTCACCATAGGCGGTGTCGTCGGCAGCATTCATGAGGCTGGAGAAGGAACAATAGGCAGTAGGTGAGGCTGAAGAGTGAGGTGAGGCCTGGGGGTTCACCTGTACCTGGTAGGAACAGTTCTGCCTTCGTCTGTGCCTGCTGGAGCCTCCCTCCAAGACATACCCCTGGTGACCTAGCTGCCCTAACATGGGATCCCTGTGACCTAGGATGTCTTCGTTATGGTCACAGTATATCTCGAATGGAGGGAGGTTGACCTGTTCACAAGTACCACTTGAGAGGTCTTCTTTCCTCACAAGTGCGACTTCACTTAATTCCTTTCTTCTGTTAGTGATCTTACGCGCGATATGTTTTAAATTTTGCCTAACCTTACTCTTCCCGCAAGAGGCGGCATCTTTATCATAGCACTCACCACTGGCACTTTTCAGATCACCAACATTTTCAAGACTAATATCGCAAAATTCGTCATCCCAGGCGCGCGACGTGGTAGTGATGAGCACCATCTTAGCTGGGATATCTGACACTAGATGAGATGTCTGCCGAAGACGACGAGGACGAGGCACGAAAAATGTATCGTCAGAATCTGAGAGGTCATCAGCGAGCGCTGTATTACGGTTACGAGGCGTGATAGGTGTCAGGCCACACACTGGCAGTGAACTAGAAGGGAAGCTTGTGAGTGACGCCATGACGGAGGGTCATGCGGGCACTCACTCCCTCACCAGGTGTTTCATTCCTACATCTGGGGAAATTTCCCGCAGTAGTACTTTACAATTTTCTTGGGAAAATATCTACGGTAAGGACATGTCACTGTACCGAATGTGAAAATAATTTTATATAAGAGAATTTGTGTACTACCCAGCTGAAATGCGCAAGTATAAATCGAGTAATGATGAAAATGGGCAGCGCGCATGCTGGTGTTATCTTTGCCTTATCTTGCAATTGGGTAACAATTCTAAATTATTTTTTTATATTGTATGAATCAAGTAATCACAGTCATAATATATGCCACTGCTTAGGGAAAGCTATACCTAGATGCTATAATGTATACCTTCCATGCAGTCATTATATATATATATATATATTTCCGTATGTATGTACTCCCTCTCCTACCAGCGGGGATATTTCCCGTCCACAGATGATACGGGTTGACAGCAGATGTTGGGGCCACTCAGTGAGCCTCGCACACAATGACACCCCCGGCTACTATGAACACGTTCACTCACACAACTTCTTGGCATTCTTATAGATGCACGGTAGTTTTTACCATCGTGTAAGTCCATAACTTATTAAGAATAGAGGTATGTGGGAGGGAGAAGCTGCAGTTAAGCAGCAAACATCAAGTCTGCCACGTTGTATGGGGAGTTGAGTGAGTCATGCAGGCAAGTTCGCACCATTCTCGATATTGCCTGATCATAAATGCGAATAATTACGAAAATAATAATCGTCTAGAATGCGGTACACTCTGAATGGATGCTGTTCTCTCTCATGAACATGTAATAGCATAAAAATAGAGCGCTAAAGCAGTAGGTCCTGCCCATGTTATATACCTGCTGCCCGCTCGTCCCCCTCAAGGTTAGGTTAGTTAAGGTTGCCAGGAAACAGGACAAGTAATTGAACCTGCCTCCCATTCCCTTAGGTGCTGCATGACTCCTACGGGTCTAGCGCTTTCTCCTAAATACAATAATAGGAGGTGCCTTGATGCAAAATAACCCCTTTCCATAAATATAATTGGTTGCATATCCTTCCCAAGCGCTGTGCGACCCCTATAGGTTTAACCCTACCAATGAATGTAATAATAATGGAGCACCAAAATCAGTATTTGCCCAAAATATAATACAACAATAATCTTTAAATACGTGTACAACGTATACAGATCTAGCTGACATCAATGTCATGCTACATGTATATAGAAAGTCCCTGGTTATGGACAGCATTTCAGGTAAATTAGGTTAATTTTATCCCCAGGATGTGACTCACGCCAGTCGACTAACACCCAGGTACCTATTTACTCCTAGGTGTACTAGAGACAGCACTCGTATCGGAGATCGAACCACAGACCTCACTGTGTGAGCTAAGTGTGCTATGGGCTTCCTAATTATTCTGTATATTGTAGCTCAGTCGTTAGAAATAAAGAATCTTAATCCCTTCTATTAGGTTAGGTTAGGTAAGGTTTGTCAGGAAACAGGACAAGTGTTTCCTGACGCAGGTCTTAGTCAGATGATGACCCGCCTTTGGAACTTTGGTCATCTGACCGAGGCCTTCCGCTGGCTTACCGGTCCACCCCTGTAATAATAGGTCTTTATAATGTGAGACCTTATCCACTCAATGGGTATACTCAGCGGCTGTGAGCACGTCTCCCTGTGTATCCCATGCTAACCAGAATTAGGGAATAGCTATGGAGGTACAAATACAATGGGAACTATGGTATAGTTACCTATTTAAAGATGGCTGAATATAACTATACGTGATGGAACATTTACATATATAACAATTGACCTAGAGACTATTACAAGGGAAGGTGAAGATTATTCAGTTAACACGGACTCAGACCCACTCTTAATCCCCACCAGCTAACCCTAGTTTCTCAATGCGTGTCCACTAACACGGCTTGTCCAGGCATCGCTCCCGACTGTGCACCAACAACTCCTTTCTCAGCTTTCCCTGGGCTTAATATGGTGTCAAAGTAACCCCCTCCAACAGGGGTGTGTACCACTTTAGACTGAAGCCGAGCGAGCTCGTCCAAGAACAAAAGACCTATGACCGGGCGTAGAACTACCGACATTATCAGTCAGTTGACCTATAATTAGGTGTCCAGGCACTGCACAAGCCCATCTGACTGCATCACAATAAACCATTATTGATATCCCTTCTCAACATAGATGAACAATGTGAATTTATCCAAGTGGCATAAGACACATGTGATTTATGTTTTATTTTTTTTTAATACACAGTCTTTCTTCCCACGAGTCAGTGTCCCCAGAGGGAATAACCAAACAAGCTTATTTATCCAAAGTTTTGCCTGATATCACATTCAATGCTCATTCAAACTAGAACATCCTTATGCATCCCTCAGAGTGCAGGCACTGTACTCCCGTTTCCCCAAAGTCCTCGATAAATGTTACCTTGCTCTTCTTTTTTTTTATTATAATCAAAAAGAAGCTCTATAAGCACAAGGCTATACAGCACACCTTGCTCTTCTGCTTATTGTCTATAATGTCAAATACTGTAATACGTTGTTTGCTTAATTATACCCCTGTAACTTGTTCAACTATCAAAACTTTGAGGCCCAGTTCCGGACCCATTTTGTACCTTTGTAATCTTTTGACTACCACCCACTGGATGGATAAGTGGTGCATAATGAAGATATTAAACTAAAAAAATAACTCCTGCTTCATATTTACAGTATAGTATAAAGCATTCTGGATAAATCACAGAACGGGTGGGATTCAAACCCCACTCGTTCTATAATTTGTTTGTAAATCTTGTTATTACGATTTCGTGAGTCATTCTGGGCAGCCAGTTCTTAAGAATTGTGCAGTGATAGTGCTGCTTTCTTGTTCTATATACTGTATTGTATATTGCACAGTCTGACTGCATGTGAATAATAATAATAATAATAATAATAATAATAATAATAATAATAATAATAATAATAATTAAATAATAATAATTAATAATAATAGTAATAATAATCATATAAAACACTAAACCTGAAAGTCATACAGCATTGCATTATTATAATCAAGGGGAAGCATTAAACCCGTAGGATTATACAGCGCCTATGGCACTGGACAAGCACCTAAAGTCGGTTCCTGACCAGCCGGGCTGTGGCTCGTACGTTGGTTTGCGTGCAGCCAGCAGTAACAGCCTGGTTGATCAGGCTCTGATCCACCAGGAGGCCTGGTCACAGACCGGGCCGCGGGGGCGTTGACCCCCGGAACTTCTCCAGGTAAACTCCAGATGTGGAAGGTAATCAGGCTTAATTCAGGGAACTGGAGCACAGATCTAATTCCCTAGATCAAGAGCCCCTCACCAGCATCAAGGAACCTTCCTTGAGGGGCAGCGCTGCATTGAATGTGAAAACAATCCTGAGACTATTTCTCTTAATTTTGTCAGAATGGCGATTGTTTATTATATTCACAAAAAAACATTAAACTCATATAAGACTTTTTTTTACAACGAAGGTTATTTCCCACTAGATTAAGGTGACTCAAAGGAGGAAAAACATTCAGAAGTGTAACATTTCCATGTATATTACCTTGCTCATGTCAGTCATGGTCATTCATTGGTACATGGCAGACATTTTAGATTTTGCCACCGAAGTGGCTAGTTTATTGTGCACATCATATCCATCCTGTGGACGGTAGTGCAAGAGCATATAGATACACAGAAGGCCTAGGCACTAGGCCCTGCTGATGGAAATGCTCAACATTTATGATTATTATTATGCTAATCAAAACTAAGTGCTAAACCCACAAGGGTCATACAGCACTGCTAAATATGTATGAATTATTCAATGAACCATGTTGTGGAGGCTCAATCCTCAGTCAACTATGCATGAAGTGAATACACTAACTAGTATAGTTTTCTATGAGATAACGAAATGAGAAGTCGTAGTGTTGTAGAAGGATATTAGCAGAAAGAAAGGGAAAGGGAATGGGTAGGGAGGGAGAGAAGTCAATTTGATGTAAATCAGAGGAAGTTACGAAATCATAGTGAGACTGCGTTAAGGATGGGATTTTTAACACTTTGTTACCTACTAGCAATAGCAACATAAGTGGTGGTGAAAATATCACCTCTGACATTGGAAACACAATGTTTTGTTATCAAGGAAAGCACCTTGATGCCGGTGAGGCTACTTGATCCAGGGAAGTGGACCTATCCTCCTCTTCCTTGGATCAAACCTGACTGCTTTTTCTTCCCATGACACGTATCTCTACAAGTTTAGTGCTTCCCCGATTATAATAATAATCTGTTAGCACTACCAACTTTCAGTTTTTTTTTTAACACGTTGGCCGTTTCCCACCGAGGCAGGGTAACCCAAAAAGAAAGAAAAAACTTTCGCCATCACTCATACATAATCACTGTCTTTGCAGAGGTGCTCAGATACGACAGTTTAGATGTCCCTTTAAACTGCCAATATTCTAAACCCCTCTTTTAAAGTGCAGGCATTGTACTTCCCATTTCGAGGACTCAAGTCCGGCTAACCAGTTTCCCTGAATCTCTTCACAAAATATTACTCTGCTCACACTCCAACAGCTCATCAGGTCCCAAAATTCATTTGTCTCCATTCACTCCTATCTAACATGCCCATGCACGCTCACTGGAAGTCCAAGCCCTTTACCCACAAAACCCCCTTTACCCTCTCCCTCCAACCTTTTCGGGGATGACCTCTACCCCTCCTTCCTTCCCCCAATCGATGTATACGCTCTCCAAGTCATTCTACTTTATTCCATTCTCTAAATGACCAACCCACCTCAACAGCCTCTGACTAATACTTTTAGTAACTCCACACCTCCTCCTAATTTTCTCACACAAATTCTCTGCATAATATTTACACCACACATTGCCCTTAGACACAACATCTCCACTGCCTCCAGCCACCTCCACGCTGCAGCATTTACAACCCATGCTTCACACCAATATAAGTGTGTTGGTACCTCTATACTCTCATACATTTCCTTCTTTACCTCCATGGATAATGTTCTTTGTCTCCACAGATACCTCAACACACCACTCACCTTTTTTCCTTCATCAATTCTATGGTTTACCTTATCCTTCATAAACCCATCTGCTGACAAATCAAATCCCAAATACAGTGGACCCCCGCATAACGATCACCTCCGAATGCGACCAATTATGTAAGTGTATTTATGTAAGTGCGT